TCAACCTTCTTATGTAACTACACATGAAAGTTTTGACAACTACTTAAAATAAATATTACACTTAAACGCTTGTCTTAATGTCTTCCTAAAGAGCTTGAAAGCATTTTTTATGCAAACCAAAGGTTTAAAGAATATTCTCATACATGTATTTACTTATTTTGTTTGAAGAAATTGAAGGAACAAACAAATTTTTTTTAGCGCTACATTTAGTATACTGACCACTATAAAAAACATATTAGTGTCGAAAAGAATTGTATTTAAGGCAGTGGTATTCCCATAAGCACAAGTAGTGCCTCATATGAGAGTAATAATATTTTAATATTACTCAGCACTACGTGACTGGCGAAATATACAAGAGGGCGTTAGTCTCATCTGTCATTTAGGGTGTGTTAACGTACAATGAAACATAAAAACAGTAATCATCTAAGAAAGCCTGATAATTCATCCGTTAAAATACATCGTCCAAATATAACACATTGAAATTCTTTAACGAGTTAAGGTGATATTTTCAAGATCTAACTAAATGAAATACAAAATTTTAAGAGAATCCATTGAGAAGTTGTTCCTAAGCCGAACTTGAAAGGTTGTAGCAATTATTTTGATCGATATTTTGAAAGTTAGTGTAAGGTTATACTAAAGCACTGGAAGAATAAATAAAAGTTTAGGTCTCCTTAAAAAAAAATATTCAAACACGTCCTTCCTTGAGAAAAAAAAACTAATTATAAAACCACCATAAGATATTGAATTAAATTAGCAAGGTATTTTGAATTGAAAAACACAGCTGGGAGTCCTATCTCTGTTTTATCAAAAACAGCTGATCCGCAATAACCTCAGCTGTCAAACAATATCAGCTGCGCATTTCAACAATGGTAGCAATAAGGGAGGCTCGAGACATACTCGTATAGTCTTAGAAACTTCCCTGTGTACAGAAGGGATCTGTATTCCGTGTAATATTGTAAGATTACTCTCAGCACCTATGTATTTGTCTGCGTAAAGTTAAAGATATGTGCAAGGGATTATTTTGGAGAGCGTACTGCAATAACGGAAAGAGATGGAAAGAAGATTTGCAATATTTTAATTTATTTCTTTTATGAAAATACTTCCGGCATTAGGAATAGATCTACTTTTTTATTGTTTAGCAGTCTTGAGGTACATCTGAGGTTATATCTAAGTAAGAAGCTCCAGTAAATAAATAAATAGATAAAAATGCCTTTATTTAGCAAGCGTTCCTCAGTACATACTGCTTTACAGGATAACTCTTGTCAATTTACTTAGTATGAAGAAAACCCAAATTGGTAACATCCATGCAAACATATAAAGCACATACAAACCCCTACCAACGTTAGAATCATCTATACACTATTGTTAAGTATTTTTCGATCACCATTGCCCAAGAAACCCCGTATTCGTCCTCTATATAAGTTTAAAATGCTCAAAATATCAAAACATAATTGTTCTAACATAAAAAGCCTTTTTCTAGCCGAGTGTGTTTGAAAGTGTACTAATATATATCATATAGCTAATAAATGGTGTGCACAATTAATTGGGGTTGGAAAATTAAAACTGCCCCATAAAGAGTACACGTCAAGCCAGTATGTCGCCGGGGGGGAACAGAAGTGTTGACTACCTTCACAACCCTCCAACGTCAGGGGCAGGTGACCGATGGCGAAATGTTTTGCTAGATTATTTATTTATTGTAGTATTATCGTCCTTATCAGTCACACCTAAGCAAAAACGGATGTTTCAGAATGCTAAGCGAGCCTAAATTAGTTCTTTTAACTGAGGTTAAGAACGTCCAGTCCACTAATTTTGTTATGAAAGTAAATCAATAAATATACTAACTTGTCGTTATTAACATTTCTTTGTAATTTTTATAGTGTCAAATTGTAAATGTTACTAGGCCTACTGTAAATAACTTACCCCTTTATTAATATTTACTAGGGGTCGTCCTGTGGTCGAAAACTCGAAAAAAATATCTAATGTACAGACTATTTTCACCCCACGCTAAATATGTGATTGGAATTTCTTCCATTTGTTTTGATTTTCTGTTAATATTTCGTTGTTATTTCGTAACCAGCATGGTAACCCATAAGTCCCATGTTAATTTTGTAAAATTTCAATTCAGTATTTGTTCTTATTTTTGAGCCTATTTTAATTTATAAAGGGATTTTGCACATCTACAGGAAAATAGCTTTCTAACAGTATACGTAGATTTTTCTTACGATGCACACGAGCTGAGGAAAGAGGTTTTGAATAAACATACTTGCCTATTGATATATAGATACTACTGTAGATCGAATACAAAACTATTGTTGAAATTCTTAGTTAGTAGAAAGTTAAAAAAGTAATACATCCTATTGCATCTGAATTTCATCCGTTTGTTTTAAGTCTCGGCTAAAAAGTATTATTGTATCGTTAATACAATGATTTTGGGTTAATTATTGTGTGTAATTGTATATTAAACTAAGCCTATGACTCCCGTGTATATGTTACCAGATATTGAAAATACAATTAGAATATTGCACATCAACATGGCTTAGTATTTCTTTCAGCAAGAAATATCCTTTGCAATTAATTAAATTTACTAACCAGAATTAATAATGCAATGAATCGTCAGAACAAAGATGCATGTCGTCACGGGTCGCTGAACACTAACACTAAATGTACTAAAACACACTCACGAACACTACGCGATAGAGATACGAACACTCACTACAAGGACACGACCGAAACTACTCGAAGAAACATGAAAATACAGCGAATGATTTAACGACAACAATGAGCCAATGAGAAACTAGCACGTCATGCGAGTAGATCAGCTGATCAGCTGACTTGAGGCTGATCAGCTGTCATGTCAACTAAATACGATTTTTGATCAGTATACCAGCCAGCATTTGAATACGTTACAACATACTGAATACATTTAGTTATTTAAAGTAAAATATTAAAGTATTATATTGTTATGATACATAAATTATACACTGTAATACATTACAGTATTTTAATACAGATATAGTATATTATGAATCAATGACATAAAAATTTAAATAACTCGTTTACTTAATTTTACATACTTACTAGTATACAAGAAAAACCGACTACAAAATGAGCTACGGAGCTGAAATTCGGCACAATTTTTTGTTTTGGTCTCACACCGCCCAGAACATTCCCCAACGTGATTTTTTTTTAACGTACCCAACATTTATAAATTCCCCCCCCATGTTATTCTTGTGGGAAATTTAATTGTAAGTGACGGCTTTGGTATGGAGGTCTAAACCTTTTTTAGACGTGCTACAGACCTTAAATTTATCAAAAATGTAGTACGTATGCCTAGATTCCCGGCAACATTTGTAATAATGACATTTTCCAATCTTAATATCCTAAAAAACACTCAATAGCGGACATCTGAAAACGCCCAATATTATGTTTCTACAAACCCTGCCAGGCAAACAGTTAGCCCTATCTAAAAACTAGCAACAAAATCAGTCTAGCTTTTTTGACGATCTAGAACTTTGTGTTTAAACTTTTTTCGTATCTCTGCTTCTTCACTCATAGGTAGCGCTAGAGGTTACAAATATATCCAATTTTTTTAGAATGTTTTCTTAGTTTTTGGCACTTGTTTCTGTCATACAATATTTACATCGTCCAAAATAGTACTGGGTCAGGTTCCCCATGGATCAATCTTCAAATTTGGTCCTTACATTCCTTACAAACCTGCGAATGGGTATTTCTTGTGTATGACCAATGGAAAATATTCTTAATCTTTATCTAATGGTAAACATAAGGAAATGTATAATATGTATTTGACTACTGGAATAGGAAAATCTACATTTTGCAAACTACAAACTATGCTTCTGTGAGCGTGTTTTGTGGAATTAACTTTAAACCACCCAACAAGATGGGAGGAACGATTATGTAGACCTCACGAAAAACTGTAATAACACAACTGTCGTAATGACAACAGGGAATAAAACGTAAAAGACTACATTGCGAGGAAACGTCGACATTTGGGGCTAATACGTCACGGGCCTTTATGTTTATGGAGGCAGACGAATAACCAGAATAACTTTACATTCTTTCGGTTTTATGAGGGGCTTTTTCATTTATCTCTTAATTGGCAATTATATTTTACAACAGCCCTGTCCCAGTGATTTAAACCTTTTCGCGTTTTAGTGACAGAGGTGTGGTATGAGTGGTGTTTGGGATTTGGAATGGTTATAAGTAAATGTGTACATTTTTTTTTAATTCCATAATTAGTTTTCATGTTATTTTATTGTCTCGCCGTCAAATTGTAGGACGTTAAGATCTAGTCCTGAACTGTGTTCACATTACTTCAGGATAGGCCTAGAGGTTTGCAGCTACCAATTAGAAATACATTGGTTATTAGCAGGTTTTGAACCCGAAACACGTTAACCCGAAATCCCGCTCTCTACCGCTAGAGCAGCTAGCTCATCATAATAATCTAATAATGAGTTGAAATGCTTGAATGATTATCGTGACTCTATAATCGAGTATCGATTATACCCAAAAAAACATTACTGTCTAGTTTATTAGATTTAGTTAATTCCTCCCTTAAATAAGAGAAAATGGTATAATCACCGTTAATGCCCTATGTTTATTGGGTTCTTAGCTACGAAAAAACCTAAAGTTTTTACACTAGGGTAAAAAAGGTCTACAACTCGTAGTATTTTATGTCATCCGACTTTCAAAGGTTAAATATTCATATTGTAATTGTGGTTAGCGTCAAAAAAGGGTATTCTCCTTAAAGCCGGGTTTTCCTAGGCGCGGAAGTGGAGAACGGAGAGAGGAACGCGGAGAGCGGACTCCACTTGTCTTAGGTAATTTAATGTTACTGTTTTCCTAGAAGGGCTCTCTCCGCTCTTCGCTTCCGCGCCTAGGAAAACCCAGCTTAATAAGGTCCCTTTCTATTATCGTTATTCTCACCTATGAAGGACATTTATCTTTAACTTAATGTTTACATGAAAATTTAAAACACTCACCCTTGCAAGCTGCCTTTGTAGTTTGGTCACCAACAGTTTCTCTCTCTGGGAAGATTTCCTTTCTTCTTCCAGCTCTGCCTCCAACTGTTGGATTCGGGCCTCCAGGCATTCCTGAAACGAAAATTTAGCTTTGAGAAAATTCGTATTTCCTTTCTCCCCGTATACATATTATATGGAGAATTTATTAATAAGTTTAGTACATTATAAACCTCTTAACTCTAAACAACCCACATGCTGTAAAAATTATGGTTCAAAAGTTAAATAACTTCTTGATCAGCATCGTACACGTGTTATTAAATTCCCTGAAACTACAAAAATACGTCAAATAACAATTGTAATAATATATTTACACTTGAACAGTTTACTCACAAGACGGTAAATACATATACAAGATGGTAAGTGGTGATCGATTTCGATTGGACTCTCCAATAATCATGAGACCCAATAGGCGAAAATTTTAATCTCTTTGTATTTCCCAATAAAATATCATAGCTACCTCCACTGCTTGCCTACTGAGGGGTGTTGAAAAGCTAATGGAAGAACATATAAGTCATATTGCTGATGCCGTTTATATCTTCAATGTATGTCACTTGGTGTAAAACACAAGCCTAGATTTATTTCACACAGTAGGTTAAAATTACCGATTATCAAAATGATTACATTCAAAAGTCATTTGTGGTTGACACATCACACTGAGTAATTTGGTATATGTGTTAAGAAATAAATTAATTCATCCATATAATATAACGAAGAACCTAAAGAAATGTATTACACAGTTAGTTTTTTTCTTCAATGTATTGAAACTTAAAAACAAACAAAACCACGCAACAAACATGTGTATGTGATGGTCAGACAACCTTTGGTTTTATTTATTTATTTATTTTTTTTTATAGAGAATCGAAATGCTTAACAACAAACAACAAAAATTAAAATTCCTCTATTATTTTTAAGGTTTCTATACGAAGGTTTGGGTTAAGGTTTAAGGTTTGGTTTATAATACAAGAAAAACAACTGTATCTGTACACACGAAAAAATTATTGATTACAAATTTAATATTAATGCGTTGTAAATGAGAAACAATTAATTTAGTTAAAAAATAACCAACCACTAAAGGAAGAGTGTAAACTTTGAATGTCGCAGCAATGAACACAAACGACTATGTGCCTCCAAAGCCTACAAAGAGATTAAAAGTAGGCAGACGATTTTATGGCGTCAATAAATGAAAGTCTGGAGCCGCGACGCAATTGTAGCAGACTACGAGTAGCATTGCGTCGTCGAACTGAATATGTTTATAAATCAAAACAGCTGAAAACTAATAAACTGATGCATATCCTTTTAGAAGATCGGCATTACATTATAGTTTAATTGAGCTTAAACAACAAGAAAAATTGTAAGAGGTCCTTGTAAGATTTTGAACGGTACAATCAGCATAAAAGTATGATGCTAATATCAACTGATATTTTATAGTATTCAATCATAATACAATGCACTTTAGGTCTAATTGTATTTAAATTGAATGAAGTACTTCAATTCTACACATAATAAAACTGCCCTTAAGTATTATACTTGGTCGAAACATAAAATTAATTCAAAACCGAGCTACACTGTTTTCCATTTCTTTTCATAAAATTAGAAAATTGTAAACTCGTTTGTATATTTTTCTCTTTCAAAATATAAAAGTTTTCTACATCAATAAAATTAATTCGCCTATGATTAAGGCTTGTGTAACGCTGACAAATGGAAATATGTTCCACACATAAAACGCAGAACGGTTTAAAGAGTTTCTCCAGTTTAAGAATACAATAAACAATAACAAATATTAAAATAATCTTTCTTACACGTTAAACTGCTGTTTAATTTGTCACGAAATACAAGGATTCGTTGAAATCCACTAGTGTACAATCCATATTGAATTATACCCTTGAAACTCAACACTTACTAACAAACCATTTTAAACTTTAAATCCCAAATTCCACTGTTACAACCGTATTTGAACAGGTTTACACTGTTGTTTCGTGGAATTCCAAACAGTTTCGTATAAAAGCCGTTTCCCTGCAGTTAACTTTCATCCCCCCAAAACCCGTTCACTCCCAATGCTTTAATGGCCGTTTCGGCTACCGATGTCGCGGTGAAGGGGTTATGCATATGCTCTGGGGTAAAGCTAAGTGATTTAAGTACCCCAAGTTGCGGATGGGGACAATTTGTTTAAGTTATATATTGGATGAATAACTTATATTTTTCAAAGTGACTTTTACAGAGTGTTTTGTTATTGAGTGTTACCTTTTAGAGACACAATAAGCTCATGTTCATGTTGGCAGCCCTGCCTTATTACCATACCAAAACCAGATCCACATAGATTCATTATTGTCTATATAGTAAAAACTTTTATAACATATTTTTTCATGGAATAATTAATTCCAATGTATTCTTTTGAATGCATTATTTGAATTATATGTGAAAATACAATACTAAGTGCTTTTTTCAATATAATCGTAGAACATGTTTTTCATGTTCATCCCTAGTTTTAAAGCAACTACAATTTAATATATACGTAGACAAGAAATTAAATGCAATTTTAGCATGCACAAAACTCCAATGAAATGTACAGAGGCGTGGCGTTGGGCGCTCTCAAGCAAAACAGGTACAGCCAAGTGTTGCGGAAATTGCATAAAGCAGGTTATTGAAGGCGCTGATCAGCTGATCAGTACTTGGCAGGGATTTTGTCCGTGTAAATTTCTATGCTTACTCGCACTTTTAACTGGAAAAATTAATCGAAATTTAAATATAGGAATTGAGTATGCACATCAGTCTGAAAACTAGCAACTGGACGATTTTCTAATAATAAGAGACAAAGTATGAAAGTTGTTTAATTGTAAAGTTTATTTTGTGTAAAATTGTATTGCATTTTTAATTTACGTTGTCAATCTAAATTTATCTTTTAAATTTCTGTTGTCCTTTCATATTCGACTGCATTCTAAATTTTTTACGAGCTTTTAGGTTTATGTACTATTCCTGTTATTTTCTAGGCTCTTTTCACCTCAAAGATCTAATACACCAACCAAATGTTTAACTAATTAGTTATGAAAAATTTAGAAAAATAACCAGTGAAGAACAATATTGACTATGTAGGCCTACCAATAGCACTAAAGGCAGAGCTTAGCAAAAATTGCATTAGCAGAATAATGTGCTATGGACTTTCATAATTAAATTCGAACTTTAAGCAAAGTGTTACAGGAATTTTAAAATAAGAACGATACAACCGAAACTCCTAGACAATTATATTATTTTTTTTTATTTTTAAAAAAAGGTTGGCGGCCTCTAAGTTAAATATATTTTTGAATTGTTGAAATAATCTATGACATCTAATGAATGTCACGTTAAATGTAATACAACATAAGTGCAACTCTTCACTCTACCCTTACTTCACCATTCAACTTCGCAAGTTGTGTGTTTCGAAGGGCGAATTTGAGTTTGGAATGACGGGTAAAGGGGTGAACGGCAATTCCTGTCACTGAAATTTGCATCAAAGCCCACTTCGGTTGCGGGGAAGAGCCATTCAATTAATACCGATACTTACTTCCGGTGGAATCCGCGTACGTGAGCAGGCACTTCCGGTACAAGTTATAGGGTGACTTAATGCCCGGGGGTGTGGGGAATGTTAAAACCACATTATCAAATTGCTAGGCCGCTCCGGTCAGTGTCAATATGGGGAATTAAATATGGGGTGGATTTGTAAGTCATTTAATCGGTATTAGTGAGAATATAAGTGAGAAGACGGTGTTGCAGGGTTAGAATATACATATATGTGTTATAGTAAGTAGAATATGTTTTTTTTATCTAGGATAGATAACGAATTAATGTTCATTTTTGCCATCGTTTAACGTATGATTGCTTTTATGGGTTTATTTAGTATCGTTTTAAATTAGTACCTCCTCACTAACTCGACACCCAGTAACTTGACAGTCCACAGTTGACGGGGTGTATACAAAAAGTTTTTTCTCAGAACATTTTAGTTTTAATTGTTGAGTATTTGACATTTCTTTGAAGAAAGTTTACTGCCCAGGTATGTAAAATACTCATGTAAGTAATACATATATGTAAAAATTAGTCTGTTATGTATTAATATGTCACCCATTACAAATTTCAATGTTCTGGATTACTCAACAACCCCCAAACTCGAAAACCTAATTGTCCTAATTAGTGAGGTTTTACAAACTATTGACGTTTTAAAGTCAGTGTTCTTATAACACTTTTGGCTAAAATGTATGGTGGCTGCCACAAATTAACCACAAGAACTATATTTCGTTGTACCAATGTCAACTTCACCAAGCTACCAAGTCGCTAAGACGTAGGTCAACCAGCAAAAGAACAACATGACATTATTTTCCAAGGTGTATAGCCTCCGCATTACAAAAATACAATATAAGTGGCTTAAATACCTGTACTTTATGTAATCCAATTAGTTGCGGAAGCAACTAGTTTCTGTTCAACACTGGAACCATCATCATCAGGCTTCACAAGGACGGGCACATACAGATTGGCCAATGGTTCGAGGTTCTTTTCTAACATACAGATTGACCAAAGGTCCTAATGAGCAGGGACAAAAAATGGGGGAGGAGCTTACAGCAGCGATGACCCGTGTGGGAGAGGAGCGGGCTTATCCCAACTCCGCGCAGTGGTCAGAAATCTGTCAAAACCGACTGTCCAACTCCGCGCAGTGGTCACTTCGGATCCCTCGCGGCACATGTCCAACTCCGCGCAGTGGTCAATTTTGGCTCTCACAGCCCTGACGGCTGAGAGTTGGTGTTTGAACTTTGAAATTGTGTTATACTTTACGCTATGTTTATCATTTATAGGAAAGGAAAAGGGATAAGATATACCTAACGGAGGTGAAGCTTAAAAACCACTACCGTGAGAAAGAGTGACAGTGAATTTATACTTTCCAAATTCTACATTAGTCAATCATTCATATTACTGGGCTTATGAGCTCTCTGAACTTTAGTACCAAGTTCAAAAATATTAGTTTTGTTTACAACCGCAGATTGCTATAACAAATTAGCTGTAATCTCTGTTTCATACAACAGTTAGCTACACTCCTCAAATTGGAAAAA